TCCCCCCCCCCCCCCCCCCCCCTCCAGATTATTCCGGTCTGCGGAAACCTTGAAATGAGCCGAAAGACACGGGTGGGCGCGGTTCGGGTCGACAACCGCAGAAGCGCATAGATGATGAGCAGAATTAGACGACGAGAGGCAAGAAAGACCATTCAGATTCGACGTTACGGCTATCTAGAGTTCACGAAATTGTGGAGACACCATGCATAAACTGGAATCAGTAACTAATTGCGCCAAGGAATTCCATGGATAATCTTGGACCATTCTCGCACATCTGTCACCCTAATGCTAGGAGCTGCCCTTTTCCACTCCCCCCCCCCCCCTCACGCAAGCTACGATGAACTCACATCTAAGCCTGGAAGAAAAAGATCAGGAGGGACGATGAATACATGAGAATCACATCACATTCGTTGTTTTCATTTCGAAGTTATACGGAAGTGACTTCATGCGGTACCTGGGGGGTGGTGAAGGAAATCGGACGTAGATCTTTTTTTTTTTCCACTCCCCTCTCCTTGTGTTCTATGCGTCTGACCTGCACCTGGATGGCCATGATTAGCAGACCAGAGACATGGAAATCATTATTTCCGCCCTCATCCCCCACCATGCACAAGGACGATGAACTCCCTCCCTGGTTTATAGAAATTGTCCAGTCTACTGTAGTGTTGCACAGTGCATCCTATGATATAAAACTTTCCGGATCCTTCACTCGATCTGCGATCATCCTTCAATCGTGACTACAAACGATACACCGCCAATACGAATGGGCTCCGGTCGTGTTTGGCGTAATACACCGCCAAAAAAAGTATGAATCGATATGGTTCCAAGCAATGGCGCGCCCAAGGAAACAGGTGGGTAATGGTCGACTATTTTCACCGTCATTTGTCACGTGTACCAGCACGGATGGTAAAATGTATGGATGAATGTACGGATGAAGAGGGACCGAGGAGAATGCAGCCAGAGGATAATGAGAATCGACCTTTTCAAGTGGCATTTGGCAGGGGCGCTGGTATAACATGTGTCGGGGGAGGGGATAAAGAACGTCGGTGTCGGGGTAATTACCTGCGTGGTTCGATCGGGGACAGGTGAGATGGGGAGGGGGATAGGGGACAGGTGGGGTGGGGATGAGGATAAACTCCCCCCGCGCGCATGTGCCCATACGAGGGAACAGGACAGGTGGATGGGGTGAGGCGCATGTGCAGGAGACTCTCCCTCGTCCCTCCCCCCTTCTCCCCCTCTCCCTCCCTCCCGTGCGTGGAAGGGAAAGAAAAAGGAAGGAAGGAAGCCAGTCCGCAGGTGGGAATCGTGGCAGTGGCAGTTGCACTGTGGCACTCTTCTCATCCCCTTCCCAACTGCTCACTCGAGTGCAAATCCTGTCTCTGTCTCTCCTTCCTCTGCTGACCAAGGCAACGGCCCATTTCCCTCCCCTTCCTTTTCCCTGTCCCATTCCATCCGCAGTGTGGTGAACGATTCCAATGAACCCTTCTGAGTCGAGCTGAGGTGTGAAACCCATTGTCCATTCGTTTCCTTCGCCGTTTGGCCACTCGAGGCCGAACCCCATCGAGTGTGTATATATATTTTCCCGTGTCTCGTGTCTATACGGTACTTAGTAGACCTGCTCAAGATCTGCTATAGGCCTTACTATCCATGTGAATGGGGTGATTTCGTTAGATTCGTCGTTCGTATGTAGATTAAGTTCTCGTCCTGGGAGATAAGGCACGTGTGGCAGAAAGGGCAAATGCCAGTAAGCCTTCCCCCGATGGAGAGGAAAATTCTCGCAATCGTGGAAGGATCGATGCGCTCGTATAGGCCCGGGAAATTTCATTATCTGTGACGGAGCAAAAAAGTCTCATATTCGACACGAGGGTAGGGGAGATAGGAGAATTATTACTATAAGACACTGTCGTGCTTTATAATATCCTTTCCGCGAATTGACCTATTTTCCGAGGCCTCTAGCTTGGGATTCTCATAATCCGGTGCTATGGAACCACCCTGCTCCCCTGTTTGCATTTCCTATATTAATTCACAAGAGGTTTTTTTTTTTTCCACCCTTTGAGGTAGCGGGGCTGTGATTGGAAGAGGCACAGGAGAGCACTTAATCATGAGTTAATAGGTTCCCAGCATGCGACGCATTTCACCTCATGTAGCGGTCCCGATTCCATCCATTCATTTCAGGCACGGAGTCCTTTCATACGCAAGGAAGACCATGTCATGGCCCTAATGTGCGCATGTTTACGAGACGACATAAAGGCAATCGAATCAGCATTGATATCCGATTCACATGCGAAGCGGATTGCGGTGATTTGTGGCTTGGCGTATGCGTTTCAAGTGTGGGAAACGAAATTCAGTAGCCTTGGCATGACGTCAGCCGAAATGAAGTCTGGGTTTTTTCCCACCTAAACCTTCCTCTACCATAAAGGAACTCGCCATTCAGCTCTCGTTCATTGACAAGAATTAGACCTCATGGGTTCAGGAAGTGAAGGAAACGAGGTCCTTCGTTCCACCAGCATTCGGCTTTAAAGGAATAATTTTTGAGGAAAGGGACCAGGCAAAGTTGAGGTCATTCCACGTACGGTATATCGGAAGGGATAACAAAGGGAGAATTTGACGTCAGCAGAGCGCGACGTGAGGGCGGCGGGGGAAACCGGACATCCTCCCCCTACCAGAACTAACCACGTATTGTACGACGACGGACGACCCTTCCAAGCGTGCACCGCCCCCTCATTCGTGGGCATATTTGATCCGCTTCCTACCTCTAGTGAACGTAGGCCTACTATGTATAAAGTCGCAAAACCATCTTTTTTTCTTCTCAAACAGTTCTTTGCCGTCGATACCGTCGCCTGGACTTAAAACGTACCAGGAGCTATCGATGAGTCTTCACATTGGTGGAGGTGCTTACCTACTGTTCATGGTAACCAAATCGAAAATGCGCTTGATATGGTCGAGGGTGAATTCCCGGGAGTGCCCTATCCTATAAGGTTTTCCGCAATGGAAACTGAGGCGTTTGATCATAGAGAGGGTGAACGTGGGTGAAATGGAAATAACAGGAATGGGTGTGGTGAGGGGGAAAGGAAGCGCTCTGACATTCCGCTTCCTGTTGATCTTGTCCAGTGTAGAATAGTTAGTTACCAGGTAGACAGGCGGATTCCTAGGCCTCATGGAAACAGAATGTTACAGCGTGCTGCGAAGTTTCCGTGAGGTAAAAATTTGCGCGGTTCAAGTTCTCCATTCGTGGTGTTCACACTGCACGAATATTTTCTATTACAGGCTTCAGCGATTAGCATAGTTTCAGTCAGTGAATCTTTTCTGCATCATTTTTCATTTTTGGCTGGCCGTCAATCTGGGTCAGCCATACGTTTTTATGGCTTTTATTTTATGCACTATGTATTGACTGTTTCACACTAGTGGCAGTTCCTTAGAAGTTGCTAGTTTTAATAATCTTAGTCATCTCTTCATTTTTATGATTTTGTCACCAATTTAGTCTTAATTTTGTTACATCTCCCTGGGAATGAAAACTTCCTTTCATCGGCCCATGGTCTTCATTCAGCACGTTTCGAACGCGCTCATGAGGCACACATATGACGCCATTGGAATCAGGAAGGCTGCTGAAATTCTGTTTCTCTTCATTCGTCAGTGCTCGTTTGGCTTTCGTTATCGTCGGCTAGAATTACCCTTGTTCTGTCAGTCAACAAGTATTCTGTTATCTTGACGCGCACAAATGTCTCAAAGGAAAAAAAAAAAACAAAAACAAAACAAACGTGCTACTGTTGTTGTGCTTGTTGCCCAGAGTCGTTCATAGTCATGGACTGCAGTCAGAAAGTCTGAGTTACAACCGGATTTTTCACATAACAACGTTTTGATTGCATCATATTTGATGCTCGTGAAGAAAACTTCATTGGCTGTTAGAATCCTTTACCTCAAATGGTTAATGTACAGGTTTGCGAAATGCTCGCGGATAGTTCTGAACTTTCCATTCTGAGAGCCGCAACAAAAGTGAAATTTGAAAGAAAAAATTAACTCATCCATGCGAATTTCTTTCCTATGAATGGAGTGCATGGGAGATAAATTCCGGTAAATTTGGTCGTAAAATGCATGGCTGAATCTTCATATCGAAGAACCTCAACGAGGCTCTATGAAATCTGGAAAATAAAAAAATCATACTCTTCAGTGATCTCCCGAGGTTTCATGTGAATATATTTAGCATTTCCACATAAGGTGCGCCCTATTTAGGAGTGCTCAACATATGAGCAATACATGACATTGGATTGCTCTTGCAGTATGTAGAGCGTTGCAATGCATTTGACTCAGTCGTCAGTTTTGAAAAAGCCAAATAGAACCAAGTTGAACTGAGGTGACGCTGAGACTGGAGCGCAAGATGGGGCTTTACAAAAGTCTGCAAGTGTTTCATTAACCTCTCTCAGCTGACTGCATTCTATCAATACTTCAAGTTTTGATCATTCGTCGCCTAGAATAGCATTAGTATATCATTAGTTTCTATTAACATTTTTCATTTGAAATTGATGTATCTTATGTGTAGAGAAGGGTTTCATGTTATGTGCTATTGCTTCTCTTGGCAGGTATTTTTACAGAATAATTTTGTGTTGATGGGAATAGGGGGGAAGCAAGAAACTGGTTTCGATAAACCAGCAGTCATATAGAGGGCACCTAAAAAAGAAGTTAACAGCCCACAAGCTTCGACATTTTTGAGTCGACCGTGAGTTCAGTGGATCATCTGAAGGGAATAAGGTCTAGGCCATATATCAGAAATAAATGTGTGACATGGAGAAGTCAGTGCAAGGCGGGATGGGAGGATCCCCCAAGAACCTCTCTCAAAGCATGGATTCTGTCAATACCGTCGTTGGAGAGGAAGAGGTAAGTAGAGGCCAAAAGTTATTTCAAACTTATTTTCTTGTTTTCCATCTGCCAAGTGGCTGCTTCATTATATATAGCCTATGGACCGAGATAATAATAATAATAATAATTGAGCGTGTAAGCGCTGGATTTTTGCTTTGATTGGACGATTTTATAAAATAAATCGGAGAAAGGCTTTTCATCGATTTCCATCTTGTCAAAATGGAATAACTGCCAATAGCTTTTTCGATTGGATTGCCCAGAAAGTGATTGACCGTAAACGACGTCAGGTAGCCCATAATGAAAATCAAAATACAATTCTAAGTCTGTCTTCCCCTACTACATCCCTGATTCTCGGGAGCATGGGAGGACAAAGAGGGAAGTTGGGATTCCTGGCTATAGACAGTGCCGAACGTGAGAGCTTTGAGAGTCCGCCACCTGACATAATACGAAGTTATGAGAGCAGATGAAGTAGGCAGGTCTTAAAAGTGGTATAATTCTGTGCCTCAGAAACCGTAGTACGGGCGGCCCTAAGGAGGGGAAACGATAACAGTCAACAAATGATGTGTTTCCACCCTCTGGAAAGAATCTTGGCACTCTTCAGCAATGTTCCCATAGGCTATGCCGTGAATATGATGTATGGGACCTTCACCCCCATTCCCATCAACACAAAATTATTCTGTAAAAATACCTGCCAAGAGAAATGGGCCCCCCCCCCCCCCCCCCCCCCCCCCCCACTTCCCCATCATCATTCTCATCGAGGACCTGGCTTATAGAACTGGAGATATAAGTTTTCTACTACGTTCTTTTCCCCCAGTGTAGACACCTGCATGTGGCTTGTGAGGTCACGCCTGTTAGCTTGTTCTGTCCTTGTTATCTTCTAGAAGGCATTCTTTATCGTGCTTGTCGGCATGTCCTATGATCTCCTAATGAAATGGCTCCTGCACGTACATGAGTCTTGTACAACTTTATTCAGTTATTCATGATGGATCTTTGGAGTAACTTCAACCTTTGTCCTTTGCTCTTGTCACCGTTCATTTTCATCGTCAACCCCCCGAAATAACCCAATAAAAAAATGTATCCCGTCGCATTTCTGTAGCTTATTCAATACTGTATGACGAGACATTTCAGCGACGCCCCTTTTGCTTGAGGAACTTATATTAAGTATATTAAACTCGCGACACTAACACCTGTGTTAGGATTACAATTTTTTTAGCGTTCGGTTAATAAATGTGACAATGGCTCTAATCTGTATTCAAATTATGTAATATCACTTCCTTGAAAACATCTAGCAAGAAGTCCTTGCCGTGGAATGACTGCAGTCCCAAAAATATAATGTTGGCATACTGCGGAAACTCGAACATTCTGTTTCTGAAGGAAAGAAAGCAGGCTTCCGGTAATTTTGCCTGAAGCCTGTGCCCATCTCTCATCCACATAGAAGTCCATGTTAATACCCTATATCAGCTTTCAAAATGTACCAGCTTTATATTTATCAAGTAGCGTACTTGTGATGCATGGACGCACTCTCAAAGCGTTGATTGGCTCATGCGTCAGCCTAATTATGGTACCGATGTGCCTTATCTGATGCTTCTAATTGAATGCTTTTAAATCCTTTCTGGTATCAGGCTTCATTCTGCAAGATTGCGTACTTCCCTTCATGGGCCTTTTCCTGACCCGCTTGAGTTTCTCACTCGTGAGATACGGGAGGTGGAACCCCCCTCCCCCTGATAGAGTTAGAGAAGCTGGCCTTGGCTTCTGGGTCTAATCTCAAATTAGGGCCGCCTTCTTTCTCTAGAATGTGATGTGAATGTGATTTATACAGTACACAGGATGGGAGAAATCTCCCGTCTGTGTCCTTGTCATGTGTAGCGGACGATTTCCCCGAATCGAGTCGTACATAAAGGAATGTCTTCTCTCCCCGTCGAGTCACGGTGACGAAGGAAAAGTGCGTCAAGTCACCGCGTCTCTTCCTATCGACTTATCGCTCCCCTCTCTCCGTCCTGAATCCTAATATACCATTGTTTCCGGGGCAAAACGGAAATCGCGTCACAGCTCGCCGCCAGCCCACTTTTTTTGTTACATGTGCATGTCAAGATTTTACCTTGCACGCATGAGAGATGTGACTCTCATAGAGCAAAGATGCGTGTACCGCGCAGAAGAAAAGTCAAGGCGAAACGCGATAAAGCACGTCACCCTTATGTTTGCCCTCTGTCTTACTCTCGGTATGTATGTACTGATCATATACAGCGTGGTGTGTTCTTTTGCATGCGTATCCATTTCAACCGACAGTAAGAGCCTCTGAGAGAGTTCCTCCATTTTTTTCCTGCCGAAGACGAGGAATGAAAGTGGAGCTCTTTCTCTTTCTCTCTTTCTCACTCTTTCCTGAAAGAGAGAGAAGTTAAGTGGAACAAACAGCAAATCCGTGGAAAGAAAAGAGGAGAGAGTGGAGCACTGGAGGTGTGCAGAAAGGTTGGTGCGTGACGCTTCAGTCAGCACAGCAGCACCAGCAGCAGCACTTTAGATGCCCTCGGGGGGTTTTACACGCCGCATCGAGCATCTGGTTCATATCCCCCCTAACTATATACTCTAGTTCACCGTTCTGGATAGGACTTAAACAGCACTAGGATGTATTCAGTCGTTTTCAGATTTTCAGTCGCTGCTAAATTCTGTTGGAGAAGCGAGTAGGAGAGGCCTGATCGAGGGCACTCTAGGCGTCTCCCATCGGTGTCTTGGATGCATCTGTCCTTTTCTTTGGTCATGGTCTGTTGGATGGGGGCTTCCTGCCTCTCATCAGATGTTACTGACCTACTACACTGCTTCGTACATCTGCTTCTTCCTCCGCATTTGTCTGACTGAACCCGCGACCTTCATAAACGGAGATGAGCCAGGAGAGGAAGGAACACAATGCAAGGTTCCCTGAGGTCTACCTGAGCTTGCATGGCTCTCTGGTTACATTTCATGGAAGGGAAGCCGTGGAGGCGTGAGATACATGCACGGGAAAGACGGGATCAAATTTCACTTAGGAAGTCTATCCTCCATCGCTCCGCGACTTTTTTCTTAAGTCGTCCCCCGCTTGCATTCCTTTGTCCAATTCTTTTTTTCCTCTGCCGTATCACGTCTTTTACCTGTCAGTCTCTAGTCTTGTTTGTCTCTTGCTCCAGAGAATTTTCTTGGGAGATCGCCTTGACGGATGTTGCCGTTGCACCGTCACGACATTCTCATCTGCGTCATCGCGAGGGAGGCGGATTCTCCATAACTGAAGGCGGGGAAAAAATTATCTTGGAGTTTGAACTGTCATCGCGTTTTTTGGCCAGTCATCTTGGAAAGCAGGTTCTACAGACTGAAACTTTGCCTTCATGCAGGCTGCTTCAGTCTGGATTTCCAATAAATTTTCGCTCCATTCTTGGCTTCCCCTCTAGAGAGGAAAAAATAAACTGGATGAAACAGGCACGGGTAGAAATATTTGCAGGAGGGAGAAAGTTGGGAGTATATCCTGGCGTTGATATTATTTACCTGGGGATATTGAGGGCGCGATAGGGGAAGACTCATTTCCGATTGTGTCAATACATCTGGATATGACAGCCGGGAATGACCTACAGTGAGAGTAGTTCCCTTCCCTGGAGATATCATTGAGCTCTGAGGAGAATGCCCTTCACCTGGGCATACACAGAGGTAGGATTCTGGGAATTCCCTCTCTTGAGGGATGAATCCTTATAACATGCACTGTTTTCTTATCTACAAGGGCCTAACTTGGCAATTCGACGAGAGTGGTTAAAGGAAGTTCCGCTTTGATGAAGGAGGAGAATTGAGATGGGGGAGGTGGTTTTTTTTTTTGCCGAGGAACATGAGGGATTCCGCTAGGGGGGAAAGGCAGAGAGAGAGAGAGAGAAGAGGGGTCTGGGGGGCATGTGTCTCCTGATCGATACGATGTGCACATTCCCCCCCTCCCTCCTTTCCTTCCTTCCACTTCTCTCTCCTCCCCCAAGGTGAGATAGACTCCTGGATCTATACCTGGGGGTGGAGGAATCCCTTTAAAACCAGACAATACGAGAATCTCAACGTTAAATATCCTTGCCACGAGTAAAATTTTGCTGATTTATGCTTCTTTTTTCTTTACTCCAAGACTTTCGACTCTTAAGACTTGCAGTGTGACCCTTAACGAGTCCAGTCGCTAAATTTTCCTTGCTCAGTTCCAATATGCCAATGAAATAGTCTTTTTTAAAAACCATCTGTGCATCTTTTTTTTTCCTGAAGAACACGCCATATGCTCTTCATGCTTTTTTTTTTCATTGAAGGCTTTTCTTCAGAGGCATGTGTGGGTGTGCAGATTACAATTGTCCTTTGACATCCCATAATTTTTCCCCACTTCCAAAATGCTAGAGGGAATGAGACGAGGATATAATCCTATTCCATACTGCAGTGCAATTGGAAGGCAACTGGCACGGCTAATTAGAGCTGGGGGGATTGAGGATAGTCCACAGTATCCGTTCCGAGAAAGAGGACGAGGAACTTGGCTTGCACTTTGGGTAATTGGTGAAAACCTTTCTCCCTTCGGATCATTCTCAATCACAGATGCGAGCTTTCCCACGTGGAGGGATGGGGAGTGCTGATAGTCTGTTCAATGCTGGAAAATCATTCAACGAAAGGTTTCGAAGGGTCATCCCAGAATCCTCAGCCTGAGTATATGAATCACGGAATCGTTCTGTCATCAGGCGATCCTGGTAAATCCTGGTAGTCCGACATTGCTTCCATTCTTGATTTTGCCCCTGACTGCTGACCATTAGATTATCAGGTGTGAATAACATTTGATATATTAACATCAGTTACGTCATTAACGCTGGAGTTAAAAAATAATGTAGAGCAAATGTTAGCTCATCGGCAAAATCAGTAGCTTCAGACGAGGTCGGGAAAAGTGAGGCTTTAGCTGAGTTTGTTTGCGTTATGTACTAGCAATCAGGAACAATGCAGGATAAACTGATTGTCTATGAGGAATTAAGAATTATTCTATGGGATAAATTTCCTAATAGTATGCTTATACTTGACATTCTAAGCGTCCTTCCGAATCCTTGGAAATGAGATCTGAGATGCCAGTAGTCAATAAAGACACGAGCTCTTCTCTTGATTAATGAAACAATTAATTAGAGGTCTTCTAGAACGGAGATGATCGACATTTCCTCGTTCGAACTTTATCTCCCTTTGATGAATCTCTGTCCCTCTGTTTTTATCGATTCGCCGGTTGGAAGTCATTGAGACCGAGAAGGGGTCGGAACCTTTGATATTTTATTTTACGTCGAGGGCTCTTCAAAATCCGCCCAAGATAATGAACCCTATTTTCACCCTTCCCCTTCATCTCCAGTCCATTCCAGTTTCTCCTCATTTGGGGAGAATAATCAATCCCATTTTTTTTTTTATAGTCGAAGATGGAAAGGTCCCTCGATAGATCGTAGAACGAGAGAGCCGAAGGAAAAAAGTAAATAATACGGTACAACGACGTGCTTGCTTCATGTCAGGAAATGAGAAGCCGGCATGCCCTGTGTTTGACGTGTACATTTCTGTGTTTGTTCCCCTTCTTTTTCCCTTTTTTATCTGCTCTGGGGGGGATATATAGATTTCGCACCTCTTGACTCCCAGTTTCACATATCTCGCCTCCTTTCCTTCCCTCCCCCCACGGAATGGATGCACCTGAGCTATGAATCATGAAAGCTATGATATGCAGGCGAGTGTGACACATGGAAGAGGTTTTCCTAGCCTCTCTCTCATTCATGAAAGAAGGAAAAAGGGAAGATGAGACCAATCCCGAAATTGCGGGTCTGCCAGTCTCGAGGGGGCTGTTCCCTCTCTCCCTCCTTCGCTGGGCTTCCTTCGTACAATTTCTTTTCCCTTTTATTAGGGATATTCCTTTTCATCTCTGTCCCTGCATATTTCCCCCGATACGAAACGAGGCTTCAGGACCAGATGACGCCTCTCCCGAAATTAATGCTTCTTCTTCCCTTCCTTCGCCCCCCTAACCTCCATCTCTCGTCTCGTGCCTACTTATTCCTGATTCCTGGGTATAACTGAGGTTTGAATCGAGTCCGAATGAAGGTCCTCCTTTCATCATCCGAAGACCTACAAAAGTCCTCTAGGTCTTATTGATCTTAATGAGAAATTCAGAAAGCGGCTTGGGTTCCATCGATCCACCTGGGGAGGGGTCTCGTATAGACAGGGGAAGTAGGTCTATTTCCCATGACGTGGGTAGAGGCGGTTGGTTATTAATTCATTGTCGCCATGTCCGCGTTGCCACAAAACATTTCCCGCAGTCGATCGTTGCTAAGGCTCGAGCTTTTGCTATCAAATATACATCCCTCGAAGGGAACAACTATCGTCTCCCCACTCATTCTCATTAAGTGAATTATCCGCATTATTTTATGAGGTCTACAGTGGTGATACCAATTTTTTTTTTTTATGGCATTTCAGATTGAAATTGCTGGGGTGAGCAAACATAGCAGCTAGGAATAAGAGATCTCTGACGAGACTATAAGGAAATTTGGGCGTTCTTTCGCACTCTGCTCCATAATCCCATAGAAGAGCCGCCAAGTGGCCTTATGAACAATTATTACTGACTGCTTCTCGTAGCTTCTCTGACTCGTTTGTTTGTTCTGTGCACTCCACATGGACGTCCTGAAACGTTAGGGTGTCACCAACTTATATCTCGAATGGAGGCATATTGTTCTTGACATTCACTCTTTCATTTGCCAGTGTAAAAAGAAAGAAATGTAACGATGAGGGAAGATATAAAAAAAAATTACCCAAAACGGGAGAAAGGTGAAAAAGAGGTACTGGAAAGAGAGAGAGAGGAAAAAGAGAGCTGACATTCATTCTATTCTATTCATCCACTATTCCACCCGCCCATCCGTTCTTTTGTTTCGTCCCGTTTTGCTTCAGAGGTTTTCTCTCTGTTGTCCTCATCTTTTTTTTTTCCCTCTCCATGCAAAGTTCTGGATGTGAGTATATATGCTCCACCCCGACTGCCTCGTTTCCTCTCTACCCCGGATTGGAACCGGACCGAAACGAGATCTCATCACTGGATTTGGAAATGCTCCGCTTCCTCATGTCCTGAAAAGTTGGATTTATTATACTTTTATTTTTTCAGGTCCGAACCCTGTTCGTGAGTGGGTTGCCTTTGGATGTGAAACCCCGAGAGCTGTACCTCCTCTTCAGGGCCTATGAGGTGAGACTGAGATAACAAAAAAAATTATACAACAGGTCTTCTTTTCTTCGCCGTTTTTCCTTCCGTATGAGAGAGATATTTTAGGAGAACAATGGGACAATGGGAGCATCGCATTCTTCTTTACCTTCATCCAATTTACCACTTCCATGCAACGGGCTCCAGTCTTTCTCTCCGTCTCTTTCCTTGACTTTCCTGTCCTCCATCCCATTCCAAACACGACGACCAACCTCCATCTCTCGCACTCTGTATCTGTAACAAGAACCCTCAAAATTCCAGGAAATCTAGACCTACCTAGAAACGGTTTTCCTCTTTGTTTGAGTTTTTTTTTTTCGAAGACCTGGAACTGCTAGCAACCATTTCAGGCTACTGAAAATTGTTCCTTGAATATATACATATTGTTGAGCTTTACCTTTAAAGTCTCGGAAAAACTAAGCGTTTAAAAACAATACGTTTCTAGGCACGTTCTAAACGGAGTTCGGTCTCTGATCTCTTGGAACCCGTTCTTCATCAAATTCCAATGAACCCTTTTTTCTTCAACGATAAGACCTATTTCCTTCTGCGTTCTTCAGCAGGATCAAACTGAGCCTAAACCAGAATGATTTCCTTTCAGGGATACGAGAGCTCACTGCTGAAGGTGACCAACAAAAACGGGAAGACCGCTGCTGTGAGCAATCATTTTCCTTCATCAAGTTTATTTGATTGAGGGTGGCCGATAAAGTATCATTTTCTTGTCTATAGGTGTAAAGTTTTCTCTTTTTGTCTTTTCCTCTCCCTCCTCAAAGGGAGGAAGAGGGAGAAGACGAAGAATATGATGATGATGCTATTCCCGGTCGCAGGTGTTTTTCCTCGGCCTCGAATGCCGAGTCATGCCCTCATTTACATGTAATGGAGGACTGAGACACTACTATTTTTCTCCCCTTCCTCCCTCGCCGTTCTAAACCTGTTCACTTTTTTTTCCCGAGAACTTCGCTGAGTACCCTACTGTTATTGTTCTTAATGAAACCGATTTCTGGGGTGATTTGTACTTTTTGCTCCGGTGGATGTCTTTCCCTGATCATTTGAGCGTTCCTCTGAACGCGAAATTTCACACACCTAATAACGGAGACGCAAAAATACCAGCCAACAAGGTGGCAAGCGCACATTCGGGAAATTGCGTGAAACGTCAGTTGTCCGTGCCTTTATTTGAATCCTTTCTCGCTTTCTAGCTGTGTTAACCAAATAAACCCATGTCTGCAATTTAATTGCATTAATATCAATGAATGTGGTGATGTAGTTTCGTTTAGGTTTATTTTAATATGAATTAATTAGGTTTCAGGTTTATTTTAATATGATTGAAAACCCTCATATATGAATACCCTCAAGAGTACTTAGAGGAGTCTAAAATGGATTTTGTTTTCGGATGCAAATAAACTTTTGTGAAGGATAAGGAAGAGGATTCGTACTGGGACTTCAGAATGTCTTGATGTCAGTTTGTTTGTAGGAAATGGACGGGAGTTATGAATGATTGGTCATTCCAATTTCTTCATTATCTTAAATTTTCATTGCGAGACATCAGCTCGATTTTGTTCACTTTAGTCCAAAAGTGATTCAAGATAAGTCGTGAACAGGTGTCTACTGTACGATGACTGCAGACGTTTCCCTGCTTCATCTTGGCACGATCAGGATCAGATCTTTTCATTTCATTAAAATGTGGTTTTGACAAGGGGGAAGCTGAGGGAGCCTGGATTAGCGATGGAAAATGATAAATGATTGGAATAACACGATCGGAATCTTTTTCTTTCAGCCGGTCGGCTTCGTCACTTTCAGTACAAGGGCAGGAGCCGAGGCTGCTATGCAGGATTTGCATGTGAGTATCACATCACCAATCCATCCTGTATTATCTTTACTCAGTCCTTCCTATTTATGAGTTTTCCCATGGGTGTAGGAGACAGTAATAAATGAAGGAAATTCTGAATTGCTAATTAATGCTGCACTCTGTTTCAGCTCAACGAAGAGAATTTATCATTTTAAGCAATTGCCTAAAGCTTTTGTGGCTGTTCATTTGATGTTTGGTCAGTGCTTGAGGCATAGAACTGTGATCGACCTTGTATCATGCTATGGATAATTCTTAATTTCTGCTAATATTTATGGAAATTCATAGTCGCATTCATAATTCATTTAACAGACTCATGAAGCTTTGCTAATGGTGCAATAGGGAGACCGATTGGAAAGTAAGTCGTTTGTCATTTTACAATATCTTAGCAAGGAATTGAAAAATTTGAAACTTGAGAAGTGTATGAGTATGAGGTTTTTTTTTTGCCAAGGAGTGACAACTGACAACTGAAACTATGCCCAAGAATGTAGATACTTCAACTCTTTTCTTGTTCTCATTGCAAGAAAATGAATTCATCTTGTAAAATAAGTCCAGGGGACAGCTGAAATAATTTACTTTGTTCTTGGAAAGGGCATTTGTTTTTTGTTTTGTCCCATCAGCATGACCTTGGAATGGAAGAGATGAAAGAGACATTTTTGTGTGTGTTTCTCTCCTCTGGGGAAATGTGTACATCTGTCCTGGATGTGGATGCTGATGCTGATGCGGATGTGGATGTGAATGGTGACAGGGAGTGAAGTTTGACCCAGAGGCACCGCCGAACCAGAACATCCGATTGGAGTTCGCCAAGAGCAACACGAAAGTCAGTAAGCCGAAGGGGCAGAGTCCTCCAATTGCTGCTCAGCCCCCACACACTGCACTCCTGCACCCATTCACGGGCCGTAAGTCATCTCCACCTGTGCACCCCCTCTCCCAAACCAATACTACTCACTCCATCTTACTTAGCCAGATCCCAGTCTCAGCTCATCTCATCCCAAGTGCTCATAAGTTTGGCTTCGTTTTGTTATGGTATTTCAAGCTTTCCTGCTTATTTGTGGTTAAAGAGCTTGTGATTTCACTGCAACATGACATAAGGAGCATTGTTGCATAATCACATATTCACCAAATCTAGCCAAGTTTCACTGAATGAATGTAGTGTTTTCTTAGATCAGGAAGTACTTGGATTGATGGAAACATTCTCTCCTGGAAGATCTTATTGTCTAGGTGATTATATGACAGATTTCAAAATGCCCATACTCTTGAATTGATGTCCAGCTCGGAGATTCTAACTCTTGTTATGGGATATGATGAAACTGTATCACCTCATTGCTGGCATAGGATTCTAAGAAATATTTGCCAGCAGGAAGATCCATAGAATTGATAGGAATATTGTCATGAACATCTGTAATTGAGAGATTCAACTGTCTCTTTACCTCTCCCTGTTTACTTAAAATACAGGGTATTCTGAAAGTCGCCCACCATAGGTAATTTTTTTTTTTTTAACCATATGGAATATACTTTTCATTTGTTACAGATCGATTAATTATGGCATTAACTAAAGACAAACGAGTGGAGATTATTCTGTTGTGTGGGAGTGCAAGTAATCAGGAGGTAGCAAGAACAAATGTGATTAAACAGTAGCTAAAACCATTTTGTCATATACCCTATGGTGTGTGACTTCTGGAATACCCTGTACATAGTGTCAAAACAGATATTTTATCCAATGTGGATTCATGTCTCTTAGTGAGTTGAGAGTTTCACAGGAGAATTTCAATTTCATTATCAAGTTGTTGTTGCAAGTGATTTTAACTAAACTGAATGAGCTGGATATTCTAAGATTCACTTTTTGTAGCCTCTGGAAAGTACAACCCTTTCTGGCCCAATGATTTCATTTTGTATCCCTACCTTTATATTTATTTACTACATTTTAATTGAAAGATTTCAATTTTAAGAGTCATGGTCCCTGTGTCTTTTGCCTAGAGTTACCATCCTTACAAGTCACTTTGAATGTTCCTACTGTCAGTTGAGAGAATTTCTCTCAACACATTGCTGCTGTAAACATGCATTGGTTGTTTACTTTGCTATTAAAAAAATTAATTAAATGACTGCAAAGTAATGTTCAAATTCTGTATTAAAATTTAAAATTTAAGATTTTTACCATTTACTTAGTTTTGGTAAGTTTCATGGACATTTGTATGGCATAATAATATATATTTATTAATATTACATATTTACTCTCTGAGACTATGCCAGAGCAAATTTTAATCATATTTTGGAGTCATTGAACACAACAGACCTAGATTTAATCCTGTAACTACCAGAACCCAGATGGTCATATATCTAGCTCTTTGTTTCATCTTTTCATTTCCAAAGATCTCTTCAAAATATTTTGCCTAATTACTATCACATATATACACAGAGTATCAGGCTTTACAAATTTATGCTGCAAATGGCTATACAAATGGCTAAATTATTGTCTAGGTTCATTGGACTAAGAACAGTAGTTACAGGATTAAGTGTATTCACATTTGTTTGCATGAAATAAATTGTTGGGCCAGAAAGGACTAAATGTGATGTATTAAGTATGATCCCAGCAAATATAGCAGCATTGTGGGAACATTTGAGAAGTGTTAATTCAGTGCCATGAGTACTAAAGATTCATGTCCAGCATTACATGAATATTTCCAGCAAACAGGAGTATTTATGCAATATCTGGAATGTGCTATCAAAGCCATCTCAATTTTCATTGTTCTACCATGACAGAAATTATATTAGCAAAATGTTAGAATGGCACTTTTTTGAGTACTCAAAGTAACACTAACCACAAGCATTGGAGAACTATTGCAGCATTCATATACAATACCTCAAATGCTGGTGTGATCTTCATCTTAAATGTTGGCATGACTTAAAAAATGGTTCCAACAATGGAAACTAGATTGCATCTTATTTTCCAGTGTAGTAAATCACTTCTTGGTGCCTCTGGAATAAGTCCCCCATACTTTGGGGGACTTCTTGATACCAGACTTTTTCCCACCTACACCTTAAGGGAAACCTCTGGAAAACCATAAAGTATTTGTCTAAAATGGCAACCCCAGTCCAGGGAGACTTCAGACAATTTTGAACCAAAGAATAGAGGAAGAGTCAATGTGACTGGCACCTTCATTGGTAGGTTGTTTAGAATATGTGACACTGAATATTGATCTGCCTGTGAAGGCTTTGTTTGACTTCTCTACAAAGAGGAGAAAGATTGGGATTGTGGCATGAGTGGTCACCCAATGCAAGATAAGGCATCTGATAGGTTGTCTTGTGAATGTAAAAGTAAAGTAAATTAAAGCCTCACTATTAAATCTAGAAAAGGTGCTGTACTTGCTGAAATACTTCAAACCAGGCTGAGAGAGAACTTTAATATGAATGTTTCATTTAGCAAATTATGGCAGTGTTTAATCTTTAGATGTAGTGCTATGCCAACACTATGAAGATGCAAAATTAATGCTCATGTGGCACTGATAGAGTGCACAATCAATGTTGCACTTCAGTGTTCATCTGAGTGTTACAAAAAAGTGACTTTACAATATTTACTTGATGTTTGGATGTAAGCTACCCCAATGCATGGAAGGATCTAATGAAACATTCACATAGTGTGCTGAATGAATGTTCCTGTTTGCTGGTATTCGTGGCATTCATATAAAAAATCTCCCCTCACTGTATCCAGTACACAGTTTGAATGGATTATTCTAAAGTCAAGAATGTTTCATAGTTGCCCCAAGAACATGTTTAGATATCTTAACACATTGACGACCAGCCTATTTTTGCTTGTCCACCGCGTGGGACCACACACATTTTTTTTTGCCGAGTTTTTTTTTAATGTTGAATTTTTTGGAATTTTTATCAGTAATTACGAAATCATAATCTTCTGGAACGTTCTCAACAGTTCCAGAGGGTATTCATTGAAAAAAAATCNCGTAATTACTGATAAAAATTCCAAAAAATTCAACATTAAAAAAAAACTCGGCAAAAAAAAATGTGTGTGGTCCCACGCGGTGGACAAGCAAAAATAGGCTGGTCGTCAATGTGTTAATGACTTTTTCAACTTTGAAAATGGAGAAGTGTTGAAGATGAATCTTGACAGAATTTAATTTTCTTTTATGTGGAAGGAGTTGTGGTTGGAGGAAGAATGTTAGGAAGAATTTCCTTCATGTTTGGCTATATTCATGAGTCCATGGAAACTTCAGCCAAGTGCATGTTTATTACTTGTTTATGGTAATCCACAGAAGAAAATAGCATCTCAAAGGAGATGGGAAAAGAAAAGAGGAGCATGAAGCAATTATGAGCATTGTTATGAACCAGTGTGGAAATGGTGATGACTCACATTATTTTCACCCCCATGTGCTCACTTAAAATCACATCATTCACAAGGAGAGGAGTCCCTGGCTTGTTTCTTTTTCCTTTATTGACCCAAGCACCAGCTTTACGGCCTCTGGTTTTCTCAGTCACGCTTTCTTACATCATCCACACAGTCTCCTTGTTCTATTGAAATCTATATTTATTAAATAGTTAGTGGGGAGAGAGCTGACAATAAGATCTTCTGGCTACATGGTTTGTCTGCATGCCATGCTGCATTGAGAAGATCCACATTGGGGAAAATAATCTTGTACTAAACCATGGAGCATGCCTTATTGCATAGTGCAGAAGTGGAGGTGCCAGTAGCACCTATAATCCAACCAAAAGTAGCATATGAACCAAATGCATTGCTAGCAGGAGGGACGTATTGTAACATTTCTGTGGCACTATGATTATAACTTCAAGTCCAATGATTGAAGGCATTTGAAAGATACCTGAGAGAAACTAAAATTTATATAGGGTATAGTCTGCTGTGCTGAAGTCTTGCAAGACATAGTTCTGAAAAGGAGTATCATCAAAGGTGTTGCTCAGACTGATCACAATTCTTTAGTCCCTTTACTGATTACTTGAGTAAGCAGTGCTGATTATGCTTCCTCATGTAATCACATATATTATGGAAGCTTTGTTTATGAACTTTTCAATTTAGCATTTTCTCACCTGCACTAAGCTTTCTTATTGCATTACTTTCAAACTCAAATAACAAATAAGCTCATGAAAGCATTGAGAAGTGTGGATATAAGCAGGACTTAGTGATTCCTTGTCATTTTTTTAAAGTTCTTGTACCTGTGTGCTACCCAAGCAAAAATAATTTCAAGGAGTGGAATAGATTGGTTAGGTGCAAATGTTTATCTCCCATCCACAGAATGAGAAATTTGAAAAATGCAAAAGCATATAGAGATGTGAAAATTAAGGGTGTATAGGAGGTTTTTTTGCATTATTTTACAATATTTTTTGGACTGTTTTCAGCAACAGTGATACAATGGAGTAGTAAATGCAACTTTCTTGCTCGTTTTATTGTTGTTCCAAATGGGTAGCAAGAAAGATACAGGCCAAAGAAAGTTGGAAGGGTTGAGACTGTTGTTTGAGGGCTTCAATCCTCCCAATGAGGCCCTTATTGGGAGGACTGAGACTCACTCACCTCTTTACCAATGAGTGATGGCAAAGATAAAGAAGATCTTAGAACTGATGAAATATAGCAATAACTGGATGAAGAGTACAGCTAGAGCACAAAACATGACAGTACCATTCTGGATTAGGCTGGGTGGTTGGTGATTGAGTCACAGCCAAAAACAACCTCTTCAAATTCTGGCAAAGTAAAAAAGAAAATGATTACCTGGAGAATTTATGAGTGAACAACAATAGACATAAGACTCCTTTTCAATGCACACTCCAGTGCTACTGTGATTATCACTATCAGCTTACATAATAATGCCCAAAAGTTGAACAGGTTTTTTAATAACATTGAAAGTTTCCAAATTTCTCCTTGTAGAATTATCTGAATGTCACTTCCTAGTCTCTTCAAGCTCTTTCTCGGACATATGATGATTTCGTCTTCAGTTCTATCTCAATATGCTCAAGAACATTGAGTAAAGATTGATATATTTTGGAATGTTGAGAATGTTTCAAGGATGCCATTATACACTCAATTTTGTGATCATTTCTTTTTGCCCATCGTAATCAAAATATTCTCCCTCCTGAGTGGTAGGCAAGTGTATTTTTTTTTAAGTATATAGAAGGCATTTCACCTCTAGTCTGTATACATTATTTTCATAAAAAGTAGACCAAAAGCTCCATTTTCCAACAGGAAGTAATTAGAGGAGTGCAATTGAGAAGAGGGAATGAGTCATACAATACAGAGTTGCATTCACTTCAGGAGTCATCCTAATGTTTTTAATTGGGCATTTTTGCCAAGCGAGGACTAGTAACAATCTCCCTGAGACATGCAATAAAAATAATTTTATCTATTGTGTCTGCTCAGTATGTATTTATTCAATTTTTGTGTGGATAAGAATGGCAGGTCCCTTGAGGATAAATGTTGTCATAGTCTTGTTATGTTTAATTGCATAAGTGATTCTCTAATTGGCAGTTTTGAAAAGCCCTCTGCTTGATGTTAATTGGTGATTCTAAGGGGGTGTTTCAGTGGAAAAAGGATTTTGTTATTGAAGAACATTTTGGATGCTCAATGTTGCAGAGCCGTTAAGTGGGAACTTCCTGGCTGGAGCAGCAGGAGAGCTATGGCCACACCATCCAGCACTGGCGTACTCAGTGGCAGATCTGACATCATCCCCGCTGGCACATCCAGCCCTGCTGAATCCAGCTTTGGCTGCTGCCCATGCCCAGGTGCCTGTCCCTCCTCACTTCCTCTGACTACTACTACGCCCTTCTACTACATACCATGTTAGTCACTCTCTCTCTAAGACCCAGCTCTGCCATGTGTCCATATTCCACACGCACACACACACACACACACACACACATACATACACACACATACACATCTACGTATCCTGCCATGCACATGCAGCTTAGCTTGTGTAGAGGGCTGACACTTGGTGCCTGCAATTTCATTGATGGGTGCATGGATTGAAAACACTGGTAGACATTGCCTGTGTTGCTTCAACTTGTGTCACCTCAACATTCATATTTCAAAATTGCTCAATGAGAGAATTTTGAATATTCAAGATCTTAAACCTCTATTGAATGATGCCTTTAATACTTTATCCCCTGAGTTTCTGCTGACCCCTTGATTCTGCCTATGCTTGAGACTCCATAAAACCTCAAAGGAATGAATCAAGGTTCTCTGGCATGTTTGCCAATTAGCAAGCATCATGTATATGAGGGAGGATATAGCTAGTTTTCAAGAGTATCATCAAAAATGAATACCATTTAGCATGAAAATCCAAGCAGAATATAGGTCTTTCCAGAGGACACACCTGCTGTACATCCTGCAGCCTGGCAGCATCAATACTATGCCGATACTGCAACTGATGATATAAGTATTTTCACAGTGTCAGTATTGCATACCCCTACATCCTTGAAAGAAAATATCTGTTATGAAACAAGCCTGGCCTAGATTGCTGCTTGGCATATTATAGTAGGTTCTCTGAAGAAGCAGAAATGCCTTGAAACTAAATTAGTGCTTATATTCCTGTCAGTGACACTTTCCTTCTGAACTGTTGTCAATAGGTCATAAGGACAAAATAGTTTTCCTTGAAACCTCCTTTAATAGTGACATATCTAAAGTTGTAGCCAGACTTAATTAGATGCTTGAAAGCAATGCAAAACCTAGAACTCCTTGGACTTCCTGGTGAAACATATAACTACTCCACTGACTTCGCATTATAAAAGCTGCCTTTTTAGATCACAAGGAATTGAGCTGCCCATATTGATTGCACTTTGTTCTCTCTTTAATGATGGCAATTAGAAAAGCTCATCTGTGGCAAGTATATATCTTTCTTGATCAATTATTATGTGGTATAAGCAATGTTGAGGTTTCTCTGTGAAGTGAAGCTCATACTCTAAAGGCATTTTCAAGTATTTTCACATGCAGTGAAGTATTGGCTTTTTGTTTTGCATGTGTTCCCTCAAAGGGGTGAATCTTACATCACTCTCCATGCTACAATCCCATGATGCCAAGAGCCAGGTGGGAATAGAGGTGTGTGTAGTTGCAATTGGGTAGGATGATACCCTGGACCCCTAAATGACCAGTGGATGCATATAGTGCTACATTTGCAATTTCTCAATTAATCACCACCATCATCAAGTTGAAAGGAGCATCATCTTCATAGTATTTCTCCATCAATGAGAAATCTAATTCATTACCTTATTTTGAAAACCTGAGCCTGAGTATGGTGCCAAGGTTCCCTTCCTATGTAATGGACGTGAGAACTATATATTGAAGGAGATCTGGGAATGTCAATGAATTACATTAGCCAAGATGCTCTGTTACAGAGAGAAAGCCATGTAAAAAATATCTATACCAAGTATTTCTATCTTGAAAATGAAGAAAATAAACGTTAAACTTTGCAAATATGCAGAAGAGTTTGTCTTACTACCTACTTGAATACACAGTACTCTTATCCCAGGCCTATTCCTTTGTAACCCTTTGTTGCATCAGAGCAGATTAGCAGGGATGATTACATGAGATTTTGACATGTTCTCACTTTAGTGGCTCAATCAATGGACTTTTTTTTCAGATGTAAGTGACTGTAATCCTGGAATAAAATGTCCAAAAATGTGGACATTATACATTAAGGGTTTCTTGCAATTCAAAATTCTTATAAATATTATATTCACTGAACATATTATTCTTGGGTTCTTCCAATTTTTGTGATATCATAGTATCAATATTAATGCACTGATTTAGGGGATGTTTCCATATTGTGATGCTCTTGTTCAACTTCTTTCTGCTCTTTCTTGATTACTACAGTATGCATACCTGGCTGATACAGAAAGAACAGCCTGCATATGCAATCTTCCAACACCTAATGTGACTCCCCAGTGTTACTAGGCCTATATCGGAGAGGATTGAAGAGGCAAAACAGGAAGATTTAGCTCCAGTGTAACACCCCTGAACCATCAGGCACATGGAGCACTTGGAGATAATAGGTGGCAACCTGTGGTCCTTTTCACAGCTGCTAGTGTGAAGCTCATGTAGAGGAAAGTACTTTTTTGTGGACCTCCATGTGGTGGTTGTGACAGGAAAAAGTGGTTATTCTTTGATTATTTCAGAAATTTATCATGTGCTAAGTATAGAAATATCAACAAGCATCATGATTTTTGGATAGAAAAAGGTAATCCACTTTCTTAAAACCAAGGAAATCAGCAACAATTGCTCCATACACTTGTGAAATATCAAAGTGGAATGGACAATATTATTACTATGAATAATGGAATGAATAATGCTAATAAATGGCAGTAAGATAGAGAGATATTCATGCATTACCCCAAAGTAAAAACAGAATTTTCTCTTTGAATCAGCCATAATTTAATATGCCATGAAGAACTTATGGAAAGTGATTACGACAAACTGGAAAAGCACCCAGAGAAGTATTGTTTTTCAGAAACGGTCTTGAAAGTCCTGAGGGTATACTAGATATTGATGTATTAAAACTTTCTAACAGGGTGGTTTCACTGTGAAACCACCATTTAAAATTTTTTTATTCATAATGATGGGGTGGTGTCCAGACAAAACACCCTATTTACCTATTGGGTAGTGGTGTCCTCTCTTAGGCATGATTCTTAGTACATTAAGGAATGAAGTATATGCTCAAGTAGAGAAGTACAAAAAAGTGTCAATCGTCTATTCATGGAAGGTTGAGTAATAGAGGTGGCACTTAGGTACATTGCATTGCAGTAGTTTCAGTAGGAAATAACTTGTGTATTTAATATTCTAATAAGTAAGTTTTTCCAGAAAATTGAATTGCAACAAAAATTTTGATATATTTGCCTGAAAGGGTGAATTAGGTACATGTTCTAAGATTATCCATGACAAATTAAAGAAACAAAAAATTTTTACAGTAGCATACATATCACAAGGCAATACCTTCCACTTGCAGAAACCAGAGAAACATGCACCAAAAAACAAAATCCAAAACCTGAAACCAAAACATGAGAAACACATGGTATTGAAGGAATTCCTTAACCCTAGAAGTGGCAACTGCCAATCAATTGACAGTTCACCCATCACAGGGTTTCACTTTGCCACTTCTAGGGTTAATAGAGGAATGATGAAAGAGGAGTGAAGCATGATATATAGGGCGATTGCCTCATGCATGGAACCTATAGGTCCCTGTTGTCTGCCTGGACATGCAAGATGTTCATATGTGGCATCCAAGGCATTAGTTTTATCTGAATGCATGATGTTCACAGTTGTGAACATACAAGTTTAGAAACTATTGTAGCCAATAGCATGTCATTGAGGAATTTATGGTTGCTCCAGAGGTAAGTGTATTGCCTCAGAAGTGCATTCCAGAGCTTTCGCAATTGCAAAAATCGGTCTATGCGAATTAAATTAAACAATGACATTTACTCCCACCTATAGTCACTAGAGGATTCATATTGGAAGAAAACATGTAGAAGGCAATGGAGAGTGACAAGGCACATTGTCTCTGATTTTATTCTGATAGCTGTGATGTCTGCAAATATTGTTCTATTGAAAGTTGTGTAGAATTGTAGCTGTAAAATAATTATTTTTTTATTGTCCACTAATATGGATACGATGCAATAAAGGGTTTATATGATGACAAGCAGATGATATATCTTCTTGGGATCCTTCAGCTCTCTCAACTATTGAGGCATTATCTGTATGCAATGGAACATAATAATTTTCAGCATTTTAGAAGATATTTTAATGATTCACCTAACTACATAGCAGAGATGGGAGAGGAGAAGAGATAGTTGTGTTGCTCTTTGAAGTGTCCTGTGCACACAAAACTTCCTTCTTTAGATCATCCATCGTTCAAAGCCACTTTGAAATATCTCCAATGACTTAATGCCATCCAGGCAATATTTGACTAGATCTAAATTTTCTTCCCGAAATTCATATTGAGATATTCAGAAACTTTATTCAATGGATGCTAGGCAATAAAAATGTTGCTCCTGGAACTAAGACATTTTAAAGTTTTAGTTTATGTATTTTTATTAATGATAGCTTTGACAGACTGCCACAAAGTGACCATAAACCATTCCATTTGACATGCAACAGCCTAGGACACAGTTGTGATTTCAAACTCCTTCCCATCACAGATGATAACTGAGATATTTTGGAATTATTTTCATATACTTGCATGGAGGGTAACATACTTTCTCCTAATATCTCCCTCAAGGTGAAACACTTCTGATTTTTAATATCCCATGAATTTTATTCAGATAAGACTTAGCCATGACTATTGCTCAAGAGAATCTATAATTTGTCCTTGTATCATACTGGATTGAGGAATAATTTATATTGTCTAATTGCTGTTGAATTGATGTCTATGAATATGTGTGTGTGTGTGTGTGCATGTATGTGCATGTATGTTCAGAAAAGGGAGATATGTAAGGATGATAATGTTCTCTCCTGGAACAGATGATGAATGAGATGTTGGATGTTGTGCAGGCATCGCCCTTGTCCTTGCCTCCAGGAACCTTGGCCTCCCTTCAGGCTGCCCTCCCTCCCCCATTCTTCTCCTCACCTGTGACTTCTCCTACCCCCAATACCTCTGCCGGACACAACCCTCCTTGCTCCACTCTCTTTGTCGCCAACCTCGCCAACCAAGTCTCGGAACAGGAACTCAAGGAAGTCTTTTCTAGGTGAGAGAAATGTGCCTCATCCACCAACTCGCATGCAGTTTCGCTTCATATAACTAACATGTCAATGATTATGGGTGTGGATAACTAACTTATGGATAATGAGGGCATGTGTGTATGTGTGACTGTATAGAAGATATGAGAGAAAAACGGTGTTGGGGCTTGGTGGATATCCGTCCGTTTCCCGTCTCTCTTTCCGTCTCTATTCCCTGGCCATTTAGTTTTCCGGGGTTTGTCCGGCTTCGCATGCTGTCCAAAGATGGTCCTCCCATCGCATTTGTGGAGTTTGCCGATGTTCGCCTTGCCTCGTATGCCTTGAACACTCTCCAAGGAATCCCTCTTCTCTCCTCTGATAAAGGGATGAGGATCGAATTTGCTAAGACTAAGATGGCTCCTGACAACCCTGGTATGTTCTGTATACACCCCCATGACCCCCTCCATTTCATCTCTTTTGCATAACGGTATCCCTTGTGTATGGCTTCCCTTCTGCTTTATTCTTCCTCTTAGAGAGTTTCACCTTGTGTAGATTAGACATGCCAGGAACCATGTACATTGATGATTCCGCAGTGGAGTATCAGACTGTCATCAGGATATGATGTGCATTGGTGTGAAGTAGTGACCTGGCCCTAGCCTGTCTTGGAACACTCTCTTGAGAGTTGGAATTATGATTTGTGAAACATGTTTGAAGCAAGGTCTTTCTTTTTTATACTAGTGACTAGCTACCTGTAAAGGTAGACCTGATTTATGACTGCCTTTGTTTGCATTTGCAGTTATCTGTGATAGGTCTTCTTACAAAATATGCTTGTGGAGAATGTATGATTTCCCTTTATGAGATGGCTCAGGGTATTGAATGCCCCAGTATCTCTTGATTTTCACACTGGGTCATCCAATCACTCTGACTGACAAGGAGTACAATGAATTGAGCTACAGCTTATAATTCCTTAAATCCCAAGGCATTGGTGTTTGTGTCACGCTTTTCAGTAGTGCTTTTATTGTCATTGATATTCTCAGTCTATTTATCTATTATGCTCTTTATTATCCCTCAGGGAGTCCAGAATGAAGAACCTGGAAGGTTCTCGCCTTTATACCAACGGAATCCATCCGAGCTAAGAAATCCAGTCCCTCCAGCTCATCATATAATGCAATGACAAGAAGATTCATTCCTCTTCCTCTTCCTCTCCTGTTCCTGTTCTATCATCTTCTTATATAATTCTTCCTTTCTCTAACTTCAAACTTTCATGTCTTTGATCTGATAGTGTCACAAGGACACTGGTGGAGATTATTACTAGCATATCTTCACATGTAATACGGCTCATTGTGCATCCCTCTCATTCTTCTCCCAAGGTTCTCTTCATTCTCCACGGAGAGGATCATCCGAAAAGCAATAAGGCTGAGTCATTTTGCTCGCTTACAGTCATTTCCTAGGAGAAAAGTTATTTACTGGCAACGGGTGTCTTATACTATGACATATCGATCCATAGTTTCTTTTTTTTGTATGGACATATCTGGCTGGGATAATTGAAGACAGCCTGAATTGCCTCTGATATATCAAACCCTGTGATGTGAAGAGATTATCAGTGTCCCCCATTTTTCCATTCCTCTCAGTCATTCCCCTCAGCTGTTTTTAATGTTGAATGTGATACTATGCCTAGGGTAGATGATGTTTGTATCGACCAGCAGTCGCTCTTTGTTTTCATCGCATTCCATGGACTTTTTCTTTGCTGTCTCTCAATGTGAAATCCTTGTTTCATTTGACATGATCTGATATCAGGATGCAATGTTCAAATGTGCCTTGGGAAGCAGGATGCGATTGATTCTGAGCAATTTTGAGCAATGCCCTTTGGTGCCGTGGCCTGATGGGTGCTCAACTGGACATTGGAGTTTTGACTTGACATTCGAGTGCGGTTTCTGTCCGAGACCTTGGGTGGATCACTCTGACAATCCCTCGTACTCCTCTCGCATCTTGCCCTGTTGTTGGCTGAGTGGTGAGTTTAGGGATTGCTCAGTTGTGGGTGCAGGAGTTAGGAAACTGCCTGACCTGATTCCATTCTGTATTGATGAGGTAAGGTGTTGCTCAGATGTAGGTTGAGTAGTTGATGGTTTTGCCTCAATGTATTTTGAGGAGTTGAAAGTGTTGCCTCAATGTGGATGGAGAAGTGCAAGGGTTGCCTTGAAGTGGATCTTTTGCATGGTGGGGAAGAAATTGTTCCTCTAGTGAGAAAATGTGTAGGCATTGGGGTTCCATAGATCTTTGTGATTTTTCTCTCATGATACCAAAGCTGCTGACATCCGTCCAGTCTCTGTTACGATTATGAATATGAAATGAATGAGAGAAGAAAGAAAGCAATGTTCATATCAGCTCCAAGGCTCAATACTATCATAATTCTCTCAGATTTGATCTTCCCCCCTATAAATTCTCTCTCATTCCCATTTTCTATGTCTTTTTGTTCATTCCAGAATCCATACATACCATACAAAAGCATTCCAGCATGAACATATACCAATATGATGACGAAGATGATGATGTAAGTTTTAACCTGTAGTCCATCGTCCTAGGTAATTTATTGTATTGTAGTCATTGTCTTTGTGTTAATGGTTTGGTACTAGTCATGGAAGACAAAGATTTTATCGCATCGTATTCCTTGATTTAAAATTTTTTTGTCCCTTTAGGAGTGTGATGATGATGCTTTCATGCAAAATGAAGCAGAAAAAATGTGTATTTTCATCTAAGTTATGAATGATGATCAAATGGGGCTTTGATGGGATACCTGTAATAAAGATGAGATTCAGTACATTCTCAACCATCCCTTGTATTTTTAATCTCTGTCCCCTTTTTTTTTTGTTTTCAGCTTCTATCTGAGATAAAAGTGACCAATTGATGTCTCCAGCATTGCTGTAATATGGTCGCTTTAAGGCGGATATCCAAGTAAAATGACTCTCTGTCTCGCCATTCCTGTGCTGTAGCCACGATCGTTCATGGGTCATTTGCAATTATATATGACTTCAATTTCCTGAGCATTTTATACGTGGAATGACCAAGGTACATTAAACTTTTCTGGAAGGGAAATTAGTGTCGAATGCTGGGCGCTTCGTAGTTAATGGAATAAGAAGGTAGAAAAGCGCCGAGATAATCGTTTGGATGGCAACCGTGCCAGAGTATTCCTGACCTGGGGTCGGCGTCCACGTTGCAAAATCTATCGCGACCCCAATAACTTTAGCATACCCTCAAAAGTGGACACTCACAATTTTGGATCGTTTATACGGGGGCCCCGAAAAGGTCACAACTACGTGTCAGCAGACGGAACACCAAATGAGGCATCGGCGGGAAATGTGTAGAGTATCGAGATGCAGGAATTTCAAGGACATAAGAAAAGCCAAGAAAGATTAAGGGGAAAGGTTTATTTTGTAGGGAGGAGGCCCCTCGTCGACCTTCGCAGCACCCTTTCGCTTACTTTGCCACACTTGGCTCCCGAGTCGAAACACGCCACCGGTAAAGGCCGTTTCACACGTGGCGCCCTTTGCGTGCGACGCGTGAGATTTCGTGATGCACGCGACATGCTATGTCGACGACATGCTAGTCTGCACGCGTCCGCTTGCGTCGGAACGCAAAGGAAGACGCGCGTGCATGCATGTCCACATGCATTCGAAGCCGAAGAGGAAGCGCAAGGCACACCTTACGAATCGTGTTCCGTCCGATTCCGAGCGTCGACACGCTCGAGATTTCCCTTCGGGCGTTGCGTTTTCCACCCGGCACACGCGTGTGGACTCGCGTGCGTTCCCATCGACGCAAACAGGCATGCATTCGTGTGCGTGAACGCTCGACACGCAGGAAACGAAACGTCTGAATGGCGATAACAACTTTTTCTTTGCGACGTGGAAGCAATGCGGGTGTGGGCCCTAAAGCCCGCACTGCTCGCTCTGCAACCTATCAGGTTCCCCCTCGCCCCCGTCCCTTGTGCCCCCTCGCCCCCGTCCCCTGTGCCCCCTCATCCCCGTCCACTGTGTCTCCCTCACCACCGTCTCCTGTGTCCCCCGGCCCGAGCAGACAGACGCAGACACACCCGTTTCGCATCTCTCGAAGAAAATGCTCTTAGATTCTCGACGACTGGTTTCGTTTAATTTTTGCAGAAGGGTCATTCCATGTCAATCTGCACACTTTTTTTTCTCGGACCCCCTCCAATTTCTATTAAATTCGACCTGCTGATAGTACCTATTGAGAAAACAAACTATAGCAAATTTCAGCTCCATGCTCGATGTATTCTGAGAATGAGAGACGATCACAGATTCCACGGTTTTGGGGCACTTTTGGTCCCAGGGATCGCAATACTTGTCATAACTCTCCTAATGACGTGAATATCGTTGGATAGGTGATGAAATTCCCTATCGGATGATATGTAACACACGGCGACAAAAGCAATGACCTTGGCCTACATGTTTTGCAATGATCTCGTATTGCAATGTTTTTGAGAAATTTTGATTGAAATTGAAATATTGGCAGAAAATGGGAAGGAAGTTAAAGTTCTGAAGGCGTAAAACATGGTACATTCTTTGTGAACAGATGTACCGCTAAATCGAAACGATTAGGACAGATAACTGGTGATGAGTGAAGCGCAGGTACGAGTTCATGGCTCTCAAGTGTAATAGCGGTTCGTGTTATGAAGGTCGTGCACTAAAATGCTCATATCTCTTTCGATATTCAAAAACCCTCAATGAAATTTGCAGTGTACATAAAGGAGTTCGTGACAAATGATGTTCTAAAATTTTAGCGAAATCGATTATGGAAACTTAGGTCCAGGTCAAGTCAAGTTACGAGATCGTTGCAAAGCATGTAGGCCAAGGTCATTGCTTTTGTCACCGTGTGTTACATATCATCTGATAGGGAATTTCATCACCTATCCAACGATACCATGTTCACGTATTCATCTTCATCATTGAGGGAGTTATGACAAGTAATGTGATCCCTGGGACCAAAAGTGCCCCAAAACCGTGGAATTTGTGATCGTCTCTCATTCTCAGAATACATCGAGCATGGAGCTGAAATTTGCTATAGTTTGTTTTCTCAATAGGTACTATCAGCAGGCCGAATTTAATAGAAATTGGAGGGAGTTGGGGAAAAAAGTGTGCGGATTGACATGGAATGACTCAGAAGTACCTCGAGTTCGATACGACACTTCCGCACTGCGTTCCGCCTGCTGACGTGGAAAGTGAGACATTTTCTGGGCCATCCGGTATCGACGAGGAAAAGATTGGAGAGGTTAATCGAGGGAATACGGCCTCGAGGAAACGGGATGGAACGTAGCCGAACCCCGATTCGATTAGGGCGACCGGAACACTGCCGACTGGATTTACGTCGAACCGGAAGGGAATATGACCGCAGGAATACGCGACGAATGGGATTTTCACGAGAGGAATACTTTTCCGTCCCGCTTCGAGACCCCCTTTCTTCGACGATAGGAAAAAATATCCAGGACGAATTCGATGCGGAACCGAAGCCGGAACCGTCTCGTGTCGGAGCTTACTTCTATCTTCTCTCCTTTCCTTCGACTCCGAACGGCTACGTAAATTCCTCGACGATCCGAATTTTTCCCAGCGGGAT